AGAGGGATAGCTTAATCAAAACTAATTCTGTTTCCTCACCAACTAAGAATCTTTTATAAAAAGCATCTGTATAGAGAGAAGAACTAGCATAGAAAGAAAACAGCAGTTTTCGGGACCACCCACCTCCAACAATGAGGTTGGGAAATTCGACTCATCAAGGAAGCAAAGCGGATAAAGGTTAGTGTTAGGCAGGCCGGTTTCGGAGGTGGATATACCATACCCCAAAAACAAAGAAAACGTACCTGGAGACTGGTCGTTAGATCTTCCCGAGTGTGAAGGTTTTTGCATCTGTTTTCTCGTTTGGTTGGTCATTGCCTTGTACGACTTAATTGGGTTACTTAAGTACCTAGCTAACAAGAAATTAGATGCTTTAAAGCAATGTTTCTCTTAACTTTCATGTGCTTGTTTATGACCTGTATAAAATTGATTCTTGAACTTGTTATATTTAATACTTTGATTGTGTTAATTTTTTCCTGTTCATTCCTCAGCCATTAGAGAGCCGTGCTGAGACATCATCTGAATCTGCTCCTCCGCACAGTAAAACGGCCGTGCCTGTTAACAAGACAAATGTTCCCTGTTACTTCTATTTCAATAGCTATTGCAATAAAGGTGAAAGATGCTCATTTATGCATGGACCTGATGATGGTACAACTGCATGGAGATCCTCAAAAATAGCATCTGGAGTACCTGATGGACCAACAGCTGAGAAAAAGACATCTGCAGGAAGTGAAACTGGTCCTGCATCAGCACAGAAGCACTCTAATTCCTCTGAAACTGGGTCCAAGGCAGCAGCACATGAATATATCAAGTCAAAAGTGGATCTTCATTCGATGAGTAACAATGTTGGTGAGGAGAGTGCTTCTCGTGAGACTTCAGCATCTCCTTCTGAAGAAGCTACTGCAGTAAGGTTAAATTCGTTGGTCCCTGCTGAAGGCTTTGCCCAAGGAGGATCCGATTTGTCCCCCAACGGGAGCTCAGACGAAGAAGTGGAGGACAATGCGGAGAGAGAGGAGTGGTTGGAATCGTCTCCTGGTTTTGATATTCTTGTTGATGATAGGGTAGAAGGTTTAAGTCACGAAGATAATCACAGTTACCTACTGCAGCATGATAAGGAGCTTGATGAGCGGTTTGCTGGATATGATTTTGTGGACAACCTTGAGTATGATCCTGCATATCCAGACATGAGAATTGTTTCCGACGAAGAACTAGACAATTCTTATTATAATAATGTTGAGAATCATGAAGTAAATGAATATGCAAGAGAAATCGTTATCTCTGCTCATGGAAGAAAGAGTGTACCACATAAATGTTAGAAAATAATAAACAAAATTGGCTTTGAGGCGTGAAAATTGATTGTCCTTAAAGAGTTATCGTCTGTATACTAATTTAGGAAAAATACAAAACGATTCTCTTCAGGATACAACAAAGCCTGCAATAACACTTGTGATTTTCTATATCCACTTCGTTGGAATTCTTGTGTATTTATAGGCAACCAACAGACCCTTTCAGAAAAGATGTCTTATTTCACAAACAGACACGACTATTTATTCGAATTTTGAATTTAAAATTCAAATAAATTTGATTTTTCTGTTAAAAATAATTAACTCTAGGATCTCGTGCCTGTTGAGTCAATCTCGTGCCTGTTGAG